TTTTTTTAAAATGAAAAATGACACATAGCTTTTATAGTACACAATGCATGGAGGCGCAGACTTTCTTCTGAAAAGAGAATAATGTTTAATTTTTGCTGGAGTACTTTACAAACTAAATAACAGATATTGTTATAAATAAAATTTTAAAAATTGTACAGAAAACAAGCCACAGTGTTCTGTGTTTTGTTCACAACCGGTCCTGATAAAAGGAGGAATTCAGTGTGGAGGATTTAATCATTTATTAGGCAAACAGCAAGTCAGACCATCAGCACTGTAGACGTGAGATCATATAAGTCTGTGTTTACGCAACTTTACATTTTATATTGTTACATGATGAAAACTTTGACAAACAAAAAAGTGTAATCACCCAATATTTGAAGATAATATATGTGGCTAATGAAAAAAGTAAATTCTAACCCCTACTGATCATTTAAAGAATTAACAGAGAAAAGAGAGCAAAACAGAGTGTTTGAATTTCAGTGTCTGTTTAAAGAGTCATCTTGTTTTTAACGTCTTTGATTTCTAATCCACCTGTACTTTGTATCAAACACTTCACTCAATGCCTTTGGCCTTTAACTCCTCTTTGACTCTGCTCAGGTACTCAGGGTCAGGATACCCAAAGCTGTGGAAACAGAACATATCCAAGGTTAATATGTAGTATTTTATTAGAGTAAACCGTGAAAGAAAACATATATCACAACGCTAGTAAGGAAATTGGTTACCCTACCAATCTGGTCCTCCAGATGTGGATGTTTTGTGGTGAATGTCGTTCCAGGTCACCTGGCCGTCCATACCAGTTGTTCTGGATGTACCAATAGTAAAAATGAGCTTCTGGCCAAAAGCTTTTTTCAGCAGTCGCAGCACTTCATTGCCCTCTTTGTTGTCTGGAAGATACGCTTGTCTTCTAATCCCAAAATAGCGCTGTCCAGGATTGGGATGTTTTTCCTAGAAAGATGAATGGAAAGTAAACAATATTAGAAAAATATATACATACAACCACAAAATGAAAACACAATCATGTTTTATTTTTTAAACAGGGACATAGGCACTCAGATAAAATTGTCACTTACCGTCTGTGTTCCACTTGGAATCTCATAGCTGATCATTATGGTGCCACAGTCTGAGTATCCAGGGAGGGGAATTGTGAGTATCTGGTGTGACATTCTTCCATCTGGTTGGTCTCCGACTATCTTACCAAAGACGACTCTGCATATAGGACAGATGGGCCCATTCGCTTCCTGCGCTCGTCTCAGGCAGTCTTTACAAAATTCATGTTTGCACTTGAGCTGTTTCTTATTTTCAAATTTATCCAAACATATAGGACACCTTTCGTCCTTTTGGTCACCTGCTGTTGTCCCACTGTCAATTGGTGGGTCAGTGTTGTGCTTCGTGTTTTCGGATTGGCCATTCAACATACGCTCATTGGGGGGACCCTCTGACTGAGAAATGGGTGTGCCACTGAATCCAGTAGCACCATGGAACTGGAATGAACTCTTGGGGGATGCAACAAACTTCTGGTATAGACAGAGAAGTGCTCTTAGAGCGTGGCTCTCCATGGAGGCATTTCCTCCTTCTTTCTGGTAGAAAGCTTTGACATTGACTTTGCCATGACCAATGTCATATTCTTTCAGGTCCACATTAAACTTATCTTTGATCCTTGCTACTTGCTTATTATCATAGATAGTCATCCAAAAGGTCTTCTCGATGATCAGTCCTGCATGTGGGAAATCGTCTTTGGTGGTCATGTCAATCTTCAGTGATGTCTTTCGAAACTCATGAGAAGCATCTGTGTTTCTTTTCTGCTCTGTATCTGCATTTAACAACTTACTGAAAACATCTTGACTATGTGCTGGCCCACGTACAGTCATTGTTTTAGAGGTCAAAGTAACCAAAAGCTTGTCTTCTTTTTCCTGGATGGTTTTCAATGCGTTACTCCACTGATCTGGATCTATGAACTTGAGAGGAATAACTGAGCCATTGGATTCAACAAAGCTGTTCTGGAAAAGGTTTTCAAACTCCTTGAGCGCATTGTCTGGGTTCCCATGTTTTCTATCTACTTCAAATGTCACCTTAACGTCTGCCTTTATTTGAACTCCATTCTTTTTCTCTATATGTTTGATTTCCTTTTCGTACATGTGGTTCACATACCAGAAAGGAGCCACTGGGACAGAACAAGTGCACATCTCTTCACCTGCAGAAACTGCGCTACTCTGTTTCCCCGCCTGAACTTGGTCCTGGTTTAAAAATAAAAATCATTATGCTAATTTATTAAAACATTTTTTATTTTAATATTAACTTTTTTGATTAATGACACACTACATACATGTTGTGGCTCTTGTATGAAAGAAGCGCACATCTTTTCTCCAGCTGTAGAACCTGCTTTACTCTTTTTCTCCAGTTGAACTTGCTGCTTTAAAAAAAAAAAACAGTACATCATTTAATTCAATAGCATATAGTAATATTTGTTTTTTTTTAAAGATATACTACATAGTACTTACAGTTTGTGGCTCTGGCAGGTTCACTGAAGCATCCTCTAGTACTTGTCTATCAAGCTGTGGATATAGCTGACTGACGGATGTTATCAAGACTGAATTTTCATCCTTCCTTAGTGTTTCTTCACTAAGTTTTTTAAGTTCATTCATGGCTTAAAAAAACAGGAAATTGATTATATGTTAAAACCAATATATATACAGAATGAAGTCAAAATATTTTTATTACTGAAAAAGTTATAAAGATAGGAATTTAATCAGATAATTATGTAGGACTTTACTGCACCTGCAGCTGGTTTAATGCTTATCACAACATGCCCATTATCTAAGGTCCTTTTCACTGAGCATTCCATCATAGTTTTGCGTTTGTTGATCCAAGACTGAAGCATTTTCTGTAGACGAGACTCTAGCCTCTTAACTTTTTGTAGTTCATCATCAGGCTCCACTGAGACCCACTTCACTGAGATCCACTTCACTGAGAGAACAATGTGAGCTTCATCTTCATCCTGTGACAAAATAAAACAAACAAATAATAAAACACTGGAAGACTGTGTAAGCCTTTGAGATTCAGCTGAAAACACCTTTATTTAAAATGCTTTTTTTTTTAATCATTGTTGAAATATTTACCTATCTTTAGAACGTCTCTTTTTTTTTATTATAATGCAGATAAATAGTTTGAGGTTAGCTAAATGTCATATTTTTTACATTTGCCACATTAATGTCACCTTGCAGCCTTAGAACTTTACAAATGTTCTCACTAATGATCACAGTTACAGTTTACATGTTATTACAAGTTTTTCCAGTGGTGACAACAGCTACACTAAGCAGCTTTACACATTCTGCTCATGATGTATTTCCTGAACCTCCAGAGCACACCAGCTGAGATTGTATTTTTGATCTCACTTTCACATACTCTTTATAAGAAGACAGACAAAAGCTGGAATGTGTTACGTGTTATTGTGCACTTAGGCGCATGCAGGCAAACTCCCCAAAACACTTACCGGTACTGCAGCAGGTGGGTGGCTAGGTGTTGAAGGTTGCTGGCTTTTACTCACAGCAGAATTATTCACCTATAATAATGAAGAAAGGCTTTTAGGTGCATAAAAAACAAAGTGTGGTGTAAAAAAGTAAAATTTAAAACAAGAAATAAATTACTCCTACTGATGATAAAACTCTGGATATTTAATGACTGCATTAACACCGGTGTTCCTGTAACAATTTTCTTTTATTCTGATTCGGTGTTAGTTTACGTACTTGGCTCATGTCCTCAGGTTTGTCGCTGTCAAAACTGTCGACATCCATGGGCTCGGGCTCGTCCACGGACTGTCCAGTGGCCATGTTTCAGATTTTGATCTTCTTCCTTCAAAACACACCAAACACAGACGACATAATAACAGTGTGTTGCACCCCAACAACCAGCAATTCTCTATTTGGCGATTTTTTATAAAACCGTTTCCATAAATTAGCTAACATCGCTCTCCACCTAGCCTGCAGAGCTACACTCTGGGTTACACTCCACTTTAAGTTTCCTTATGTCTTACATTTTAATCAAACCTGTAACAGCCACAAAGTTATCTCACACGTTATGTGTATCTGAACAGAAATATATCTTGAAAATATTACTTTACTGCGCATACGACTTACCCTTGTCTCGCTACTTTAAACACTGGTACTTCCGCATAAACGAAAGCGAAAGCTTGCAGCTCCGCAATAAGGAGCTGCGTCACCCTCCACACGCAAGTGCACCTCTGTCATTTCCAGCAGCGTGTTGGCTGGAGGTCTGTTAGCTCAGCTGACTGTGGAAACTAAATCCTTCTTCACTGCATGAAAAGGACAGAAATGTTCTTTAGGTGACATATAAGCTGTTTCCTTGATATCTCAGATATAGTTAATAGTTTGTGTAAGATAACCTACTGTCTCATATGATACTGACAAACATAAAATAAAACGTTGCGTTTTATTTTATGTTCGACTCCTTTCAGGCATATGATACTTGGGGGGGGAGTATTAATTATAAGCCAAGGTTAAATTTATGAGCCAAAATCCACTGAAAAATGTAGCTTAAGTACATTTTCTGCTAATATTTCCCTAATACTAATCATTTTTCCACTTAATTTGTGGTGCTGTGTTTTCTGTTTTTTTAAAAAAATCAGAATCAGAATCGCGTTTATTGGCCATGTATATCCACACACACACAAGGAATTTGGTTCCGGTAGATGGTGACTCTCAAGCACAGCAGTATAAATAAATCTCAACAGTGTAAGCAACACAATACAAAACCAACCATAAATAACCAATCTAAATCTTCTATACATAAAATACAGGATGACAGAAATGAGATTAAGTGAAATGAATATCACAGAATGTACATAAGGTGCAGTTGCAGTCTGGCAGTGGGAGCAGTGTGACAACTGTTTAGGAGGGAGATGGCGAGGGGAAAGAAACTCTTCCTGTGTCGGGTGGTCCTGGTCTGCAGGCTTCTGTACCGTCTGCCAGTCAAAAAGTCCGGAAGTACATCCTCTGCTGGGTCTTTTTGAGGATGGAGTTGATGTTGGTCTCCCACTTCAGGTCCTGGGAGATGGTTGTACCCAGGAACTTGAAGATCTCCACAGTAGACACCGGGCTGCCTGATATGGTGAGGGGAGGAAGTGTTGAGGGATGTCTCCTGAAGTCCACTGTCATCTCTACAGTCTCAAGCATGTTCAGCTCCAGATTGTGCTGACTGCACCAGAGTACCAGGCGCTCAACTTGCCGGTATGCAGACTCATCACCATCCTGAATGAGGCCAATGACGGTGGTGTCATCTGCAAACTTCAGGTGATTAACAGCCGAGTTCTTGGAGGTGCAGTCATTAGTGTAGAGGGAGAACAAACACTGCAATATGCCAACATGAACACCGTAGTCTCAGCCTTAAAAATGCCCACCGTTCTTTTCAATTATAATTAAATGAAATAAATCTTATTCATTATTTATTTAGTATATGTACAGGAAATCGAATAAACAGCATGGGTGGTTCCTTTAAAAAGCAGGAAGAAACAAAATAAAGGCAAAGTCATTTCATACAAAAACAAACATGAAAAAATTGTTTATTTTATGTTTCCATTTTTCAGCAAACATTGTTCAGCCTGATATTTTGCAAAGGTTTCAGAGAAACAATACAAAGATACATGATAACATGATAAAATTATAAAAAGATTCTACTGTAAGCATGCAAATAACACAAGACATTAAACAGTAGACTGAGTTTACTGCCATAGCCATGAGAAACCCCACATTCCAGCATTGGACTGGGAGAAGTTCATGGGAGATGTGGCAGTTTTCTGATACAAATGGAAAAGCTCTCTCATAGCATGGCTCTCCATGGAGGCATTTCCTTCATCTTTCTTGTATACAGCTTTGACATTGACTTTGCCTTGACCAATGTCTGATTCTTTCAGGTCCACATTAAACTTATCTTTGATCTTTGCTACCTTCTTACTGTAAGAGGTAATCATCACCTTCCAGTAGCTCTCCTCCATCGTTAGTCCCATATGCATGAGATGGTCTTTGGTGGTCATCTCAATCTTCAGTGATGTGTCTTGAGTCTCTCTTTCATTCTCTTCATGAGAAGTATCTATGCTTTTTTTCTGCTCTGTATCTGCATTTAATAACTTTTTCATGGCCTCTTGACTTTGTGTTGGCCCACGCACAGTCATTGTTTCAGAGGTCAGAGTAACCAAAAGCTTGTTTTCTTTTTCCTGGATTGTTTTCAGTGCATCGCCCCACTGATCTGGATCTATGAACTTGAGAGGAATAACTGAGCCATTGGATTCAGCTAAGCTTTTCTGGACGAGGTTTGCAAACTCATCGAGAGCACCGTCTGGTCTCCCATGTTTTTGGTCTACTTCAAATCTCACCTTCACATCTGCCATGATTTTAACTCCGTTCTTTTTTTCTATATGTTTGATTTCCTTTTCGTACATGTGGTTCACATACCAGAAATGACCCACTGGGACGGAACAAGAGTGCATCTCTTCACCTGCGGAAACTGTGCTACTCTGTTTCCCCACCTGAACTTGGTCCTGGTAAATAATAATAATCATCATCATCATCATGTTCATTTGTTAAAGATCACATTTTTCCATTTTTTATGATTAATCACACAGTACATACCGTTTGTGGCTCTGACATTGGGGAAATGCCACTATCTTTTTCAGCTGTAGACCCTGTGTTACTCTGCTTTCCTGGTTGAATGTGCGCCTGTTAAAAAAATAAAGTACTTCATTCAGTTCAACAGCATCCACGCACGCACACACGCACGCACGCACGCACACACACACACACACACACACACACACACACATGTATATATATATATATATATATATATATGCCTATGTGTGTGTGTATATTTTTCAATGATTTACTACACAGTGCATACAGTTTGTGGAGCTGGCACAAATGGAGGATGGTTTGTCGAAGCATCCTCTGGAACACCTGTTTGTTCTCCATCTGCTGAACCTGCGTTACTTTGCTTTCCCAGTTGAACTTGATCCTACAAATACAGTACATCGTTTAATCCAACAGCATTCATTTATATTTGTTTTTAATGATTTACTACCTTTTACATACAATTTGTGGATATGGCACAGATGGGGGAATGTTCATTGAAGCATCCTCTGGTACTTGTGCATCGAGCTCTGGAGATGGCAGTGTCAGACTGATGGATGTTATGGTGACTGAATTTCCATCCTTCCCAGTTAGTGTTTGTTTACTCAGTTTCTGAAGCTCAGTCAGGACTTAAAAGACAGAGACAAATTGGATTAAAAAAATCAATATAATTATACAGAATTTATTAAAAATAAATGTTTTTATTGGAGAAGTTATACAGATAGTAAAGTAATCAGATGATTATGTAGGACTTTACTGCACCTGGAACTGGTTTAGTCTTTATCACAACACGCCCGTCTTTTAACATCCTTTCCACTGAGCAGTCCACCTTATGTTTGCATTTGTTAAACCAAGTCTGAAGCATTTTTTCTAGACGAGTCTCTAGCCTCTTCCCTTTTTGTAGCTCATCATCAGACTTTATCCACTTTATTGAGAGAACAATGTGTGCTTCATCTTGATCCTGTAATAAAAAAACACACACAATAAAAATATGCAAGCCGATATTCATCCAAAATTACATTTATTTAAATATGTGCATATATTTTTTTAATTGTTGAAAAATATCTTTTAAGAATTCCATTCTTTAGTATTATAGACAAGACTAAAGCTTGTTTTCTTTTTGGTCCAAACTAAGGTTTTCAAACTTAGTGTTCCTTAACTATTGTACTTATGAATGAATAGTGTGACGCTAGCCACTTTTCATATTTTCACATTTGTCACATTGATGTCACCTTGAAGCCTTAGATATTTACAATGTTCTCACTGATGATCACAGTAACGCTGATCATCTTCACACACTGTTGACTTCTTCAGTCTCACAACTCTTACAATACAAAGCTGAAGCTTTGTATTCCATCTAGTGGCACTTTGAAACCTTACAAAAAATTTCACTCATGACAACAGCCACACTGAACAGCTTTACACAATCTTTCAGTATTTCCTGAACCTCCAGAGTTGATCAGCTAAGATTATGCTGACCTTGTAGTCTCAGTACTTTCACTTTCATATAATCTTTACAAGAATACGAAAAAAAACAAAAACAAACCCGGAACACATTAAGCATAAGCACACAAAATCACCAAAATGAAACGCTTTTCAAGTATAAAAGCAAACCGTGGCCTCAAAAGTGCACTTTAAAAAAAATGTAAGTCTCCAACTGGAGATAAGCACTGTGGATATTTAATGACTGCATTAACACCAAAGTTCCTGTAACAAATTACTTTATTCTGATTCAGTGTTAGTTTACATACTTGTCTCATGTCGTCAGGTTTGTCGACCTCCATGGGCTCTGCACTGGCCATGTTCAAGATTTTGATCTTCTTCCTTCAAAACACACCAAACACAGACGACATAACAACAGCGTGTTGCACTCAAACAACCAGCAATTCTGTATTTGGTGATTTTATATAAAAACCGTTTCCATAAATTAGCTAACGTCGTTCTCCACCCAGTCTACAGAGCTACACTCTCGGTTACACTCCACTTTACTGTTTTCTTACGTCTTGAATTATATCCAAACCTTCAACAACCACAATGTTATATTACACATTTTGTGCATGTGAACAGAAATATAGCTAGAAAATACGACGTTTCTGCATATTAGACTTACCCCTGCTTCGCTACTTTAAACTGTTTTTACCTTATAAATGAAAGTGAAACCTTCACAACAGTCACGCTCAAGTGCGCATCTGACATTTAGAGGAGGTCTGTTTGCTCAGTTAAGATGGCTGTGAATACTAAACCTCCCTTTATTTCCAGAAAGGAAAGAAGATATCCTTTATGCGATTTTTATGTTGTTTGCTCGTTATCTTGATATTCACCAATTCTACTCATGTTTCACTTGCTATAGAGAATTTCTGGTGTTGTGTTTGTACTTTTATAAAAGAGCATTTCTTCCACCAAGTAAAAAAAAAAAAATGTGATGAACATTGTGGTCCCATCCTAAAAATGCTCTGCTATTCTTTGCATTTACAAATACATGAAATCTTATTATGTAGATTCAATATGCAACGGAAAAGATACTTTAATATATAGTATTTCACATTATAGTATTATATGTGTGTGTGTGTGTGTGTGTGTGTGTGTGTGTGTGTG